TACCTTCTTCTCAAACTCATCAACCATGCCTGCTTTAGCCACGGCGCTCCTGTAGTAGCTCCAGTCGATGGGTGCAGGAGTCTCAGGCAATGAGGCCAGTCTGGTATGAACAGAAGAATCAGTTTTAACACACAAAGCAGAAAGGAATGGTGAGCAGACAAATGTGTATAAACATTTGGAATAAATAAACAAAAATGTTGCAATGTAATCACACTGTGATAAAAGGAAGATACAACCAAAAGAAATCCTGAAAAAAAAAAAAAAGTTCATTGTACCTGTAACTCAAAGGTCACCAGTGTTAGAAAAAAATATTTGGGTTAAGGTTGCAACTAACGATTATTTTGCAAATCGATTATTCTTCCAATAATTCGAATAATAATCTGATAGCAAAAGGTTACTTAAACCTTAAAGTTAAAGCAGGTGAAACTAAAACTTTTCCAATTTAGGAGCTCCGCATAGAGCATATTGACTGACGGAAAGCTTTTAAAATCTTAAATGCAATTTTGATATAAATACTGCTCTAACTGGTTTGCTGTCAGCTAAAGGCATCTTTTATAGTCTCTACACTCTAGTTAATGATCGATGAATAAATCACGATTAACCCAATTAATTATTGCAGCCCTAATTTGGTTTAATGTAGTAACGTGCTAGTCTGCCATACCATTATTATTATTATTATTATTATTATGTCAGTTGAGTCTTTCGAGCCTTTTCTTTAGTAGATGAAACCAATTGTGGTGATTGCTAACCTGGCCAATCACACTTACTACAGTATAATTTTGGGAATGTTGCCCTAGTGGTTAGAGCAGTGTGCTTGTGCTCTGAGAAGGTTGCAAGTACCTGGTTCAATACCCACAGCCTGCACTCTGGTTCCCAAGGGGAGGGGTTAAAATGCAGGGGTAAATTTCTTCAATGTGAGATCAATAAAGTTCAATTATTATTAAATGTAGTTTGGTAAACTGCCTTTGACTGTGGCCAGATCTGGCCGGACTAATCACAGCGGACTATAGGGTGTGTAACTCTCAGTGCCAGAATCACCAAGTTCTCTGCTAACAACTAGCTTGCTAATGAAAGAAGCAGTTGCAATACATTTTGAGAAAGGGAGAGCACACCTTATGTCCTCAGATCTTTTTAGGCAAAACTGTCAGAAATGGCAAACTGGAGAGTTTCTTCGATGGCTTGTCACATGTCACAGACTACAAAATTACAAAAAAAAAAAAAAAAAAAAAAAAAAAAAAAAAAAAAAAAGGGAAGCGCTTTTTAGTTTTGATTCACATCCGTAGTCATAAGATTGGTTCTAACCTGCTGAGGCCGACCCTGTTAGTCCCACCTCAAACTGTACCAGCTCTGTACCAGACTAACACGCCATGCACATATCAGTCTGGTGGGCCAGGCTAGTTGATTGCTGATTTAGGCTTAAACAATAATTAAAACCTACTTGTGCAAGTTTCCAGCCCATTACAAATCAGATTATTGAATCTAAAGAGCACATATTTGCTTAATTTTGAAATTCAGAAGATATCCCAGTTTCCTAGCTGAATAAGCCTATTCAAATAATGATTATCTAAGCTTTACTTTAAGATACTGAACCTTTCATCTCCATTTACCAGTTTTTATTTTAGGCATCTTGAAAATAGCACAAAATAGCTAGAAAAGAAAGATTTGCTTAAAGTATTCACTATGTGTTATTTTTACAGTATGCATTTTTCAAACAGGATTAAATTTGTTTCTTTGCTCTTTTAGAACCAACTTTCAGAAACAAAGATATCTTCCTAATGCATGAACTGTTTAATTTCGACCTGGGAGTAAATACAAAGACAAGATCTACCTTCACTTCAACCATAACAGGAACAAAAAGCCAAATGAAATCACTGCTACAACCCACGGGATACGACATACTTTGCAGAGATGGCATCAGTGCGAGTCTTCAAGGCGTTGAACATGCCTCGCTGGTTGGGTGGCACCCGCTCAGCAAATGCCAACCAGTCAATAGCTTTCAGGGCTGCACGACGGCCTGCCATCTTGACTCTCTGAAAACAGAAAAGTCATTATATAGTTGTACAAATAGTCAACTCAGCCAGATGAAACAACATTTCACATTTCTGCAAAAAGTCAAATAAAACATGTTTCAGGTAGTCTTTAGAGAAAGGATGGCCTGAGCGCTTTTTACGTTGCCGCAGTGATATTATGTGAAGATGAAAAGTTATTACACTTCAAAACAGATAGTCTATGTGCCATGTCCTATCCACTGATATACTAATAATCCCCCCCGTCTTGGTTATCTTTGGCTTAAATTCTCAGTTTTAACAGTTAACATAAATGTTGGGGATGCAAATTATTTCAGAACTTCAGTTCTATTCAATTCTGTGGTTTTATTTTTTTAACTTTACAAATGTTACGTTTCTAAGTGCTCTTTGAGATCAAATTATTAGCTTTGACATGGAGGTGTTGGGTAGTTCTTTTGTAGGTCCCTGAAAAAACGCATTCAGTTACTCAATAGCAGAATAATAAACAAACAGAGCACAAACATTGATACAATAAAAATAAAATAACAATGGGGAGTGCACAGTAAATGCGACTCTTAATTGCAAAAATGCACTAGAACAATGAGAATATGTGTTAATTATGCTCGTATTTGTAAACTGACCACAAACATATCACAAAAACTTAGATGAAAAACCTTTACGTTATAATCTGTCCTTGTCTGTTATTTGTAATTATAAGGGTAAAGAGTCTAACACATTAAGAGCTTTTACGTAGAAAGAAATTGGTGTATTTTTGATACCTTTTGCGGCATCAATTCAACACTAATATTTTCGTTTAATGCCTAACAATGACCTGTGCACAGTAGAGCGTTTTATCTAAAATAAAAACTTTAAAATATATATATATCAAAATACAGCAAGAACTGGTTAAAGTCGCCGTCCTTGACATTTTCTAACATTAACACTAGCTAATGTTAGCTCGTTTGGTTAGCCTGCTAGCCAAGGTCAGACGTTCCTGTTTGAACAAGAGCGTTTTTTTCAATACACCCAGCCTCCCGTGTGTTCACCGAACAATTCACCCCATCATGGAACAGTCGTGAAACGGCACGATAGTTTTCTACACAATTATTCTCTCTAAATCTTCCAGCGGTTAAAGCAGTTGTGAACTCACCTCGCTGCAGATAACAGTGACAGAACGGAGCAACGGAAGTCCTTTCTTCTTGAGCTGGAAGCTAGCAGCAAGCGGGGAGACACTACTGCCCCCTACTGGACGGATTAAAAACGTGCAATTGATTCGAATCATTTGCAGGGACTGTTCCAGAACGCTTCGAAAGGGAGCCGGTGAGGCTTCTTGAGAACCCAAAGCATGTGTGTAGTAGTGACCTGATAATAACTCTTATGGTCAAACGTAGGATTATGTATGGCTGGGTTCTCTCGTAGAGATATTTCTAAAATGAAAATTAATTAATAATTAAAATCAATAATTTCTATATATCACTCATTCAATTTAATAAAAAAATCTTTATTAATCCCAAAAGCAAAATAATAGCATTTCACAAAGTATTTGATGACTCAACTTTATCTAAATATTTGACAGAAATAAAATGAAAAATAAAAAAGTGATAGTTTCTTCAAATAGTTGTTTTAGATTAGAATGATAAACCTTAAACATGGATCACAAGCCTTATCTTCTTAATTCTATGTAGAGTATGAGTTCAGAAAATTCACACATAAATGAAAACAAAAAAGAAATATTTGTATATGTTGTCACTTAAATAAAACTGATGTATAGACTATTTAGTCATAATTTGATTTCTGATTTATAAAAGTCAAAGAATGGACTTGATGAGCTGTGAGATGTTATAAGAAAATTTTACAAAGACATTTGGACATTTGTAACATGTAAGAAATTCACATTTGAAATATTATCTTTCACATGAATTCTGTCTTCTCATTAAGCAACGTAAATTGTCTTGTAAATATTCATAAGTACAAAATCCGTATATTAGATTGAATCATTACAACTTTGTTTTCATCGTAAGAGCATTGTGTTAATTGATTGATATTTATAATCAATATTTTAACATGTAAATCTAATTTAATTCATCAAGGTTTTATTTTGGCAGATAACTGGGGCACTTTTTGGTTCTTTATAGAAAATATGTGAACATGTTAAACAATTTAATTTCTTAATTTACCATTTTTAAGGTATCACACAAATATACAAATATTGATCTGGTGATGGCCTTTTTTCACTTTTGGATATATTGGAATGAAGTTCTATTAGTCTCACACAATGCAAGCCCTTGAACGAGCAGCTGATGGACCAAGTTGGTTTAAATAACGTATGATTTTCATAGGGTTAAAAAAGAAGCTGTACAAATTCCCTATAATGGAGGTTGAAGCTTTCGTGTAGCATTTGAATCCGACTTATCTGGATTTCATACTATCTGATGACATAGCAGCATTTCTTATTTTAAACTGCAGAGCCTTTGAGGTCAGATATCCATTTGTCCTTTTTAATAATACTGTATCCAGGCTACATGTGTTTAAATTCAACTTCATATGTGCATGTAATTCTATAGTGGCACTAAATCAGTTTTACATTTGGATTAAAGATGTTGTTTTTCTGAAAAAGGAAGCGGAAAATGTTGGAGTTTTTCCTTATCTCGGATTACAACAAAATAAAAAAGCAAAAGCAAATATATTTTAACATTTAACGAGCACATTTGGGCACCAAAATGTTGAATAAGCAAATTTAACACTAATACAGAAGTTTTAGAAAAGATAGGAGGAAAAAAGAATCACCAAGCAGGAACAAATTCCCTATTTTGACATTCCTCAAAGTAGCAATCAGGTGTAGAGGTCTGGCAAACTTCAACAAGAGGCTGTGGGAGGAAAACAATCATCAAATATGCAGAAAGTCACAAAGCAAAACAAAAGTCATTGTTAAAGTTTATAACTTTCACACATGAGACACAAATGACGCAACTGCATCAAATACAGATAGAGAAGTTTCAAGTCTTTAAATGTTTTATTAAAGTCAGTTTTTTTGTTTTTGGATTTTTTGTACAAAGATATGTACACGGTACAGATACAAAGACATTCAATAAATACAACTTTTCTTGCCCTTCAAATAAGGCTGCAATGCTTATTCTGCAACACTACACATTTTATTTACAATTAGCAAAAAGGAAAAAAAACTATACCATTAAGGCCATATTGTGAGGGTTAAAATCTAATAATTTTATTTCTAAAATATAATTTGGTCCCTTTTAGTGGTTTTTACAAAATATAGAAATTTGAACTGCTGGGAAAACAGCAGATTCAACGAAGAATCACACTTGGATAAAAATAGAAACAAATGACAATAGAGTCGCGGTCATAAGGCACAGACACAGAATAATAAGTACTTTTCTGTTACATTTTCCTTTGATTTTTTTTCCTGCAGCTCTTGATTCGGACCGTAGTGGATCACCTGAAATGAAGGCATTTATTTTTTCTGAGATATTTAAGGCTAAATTGGGCAGATCATTTAATCCCAGAAATGTGCGCATGTTTATAAAACATGTCTCAATTTGACTTTGAGGTTTTAATTCGATAATACAAAATTCTTTCCATTCCAAAACAGTCTGCCGAAATTCCTAAGACAAATAATACATCCCATAGGTGACGGGTCCGCTGAACAGTCCCGGGACCGGCAGGCTGGGCCTCGGAAAGGCGCTGGAAGGACCCCAAGACGGTGCGCTCATGTGCGCTCCGAGGGGGAAAGGCAGTGCGAACGCAGGTAGGACAGGCTTAGAGGCCAACTTAAACTTCTCCAGCTCGGCCTCTTGCAGTCTCTTGGCTTTGGCTCTGCGGTTCTGGAACCAGATTTTAACCTGAGTCTCCGTAAGGTTGAGAGAGTTGGAGAACTCGGCTCTCTCGGCGATGGAGAGGTACTGCTTCTGGCGGAACTTGCGCTCCAGCGCTAACAGTTGGGAGGTAGTGAACGGTGTGCGAGGTTTCCTGTTGTTTTTGTGCTTCCTTAGAGTACACTGAGTGGGGCTGGAGCTCCCTGTTGAAGAGAAACGGGAAAATATTTAAGATTAGTTCGACCTTAGATCAGCTGATGCAGGATCGGACCGCAGTGGATCAACTGGAATTGATCCACTGCGGTGCATCAGGCCATTTTGAGCCGAATGCATGCATAAAGACGTCAATCTAAATACAAATTTGTGTTCAAAACAGGAGTTGCAATCATTTGATTTAACTTTATAGACCACTTTCTACTTCCAATCGGCAAATAAGACAATCTGTATTTGATTGCACTGTAAGATTAAACTGTGCGCAACTCTAATTTACAGTTTATATTGAATCGATCTGAATTTTAAGAAACTTAACGTGAACTTGAACTTTTTTTTAAAATAGTAAAACACCCTGATTACTTTGTGGTGCATTTACTGATTGAACCAAATAGATTTAAAGTATCTCATGTAAATTACAGGCCAGCCTAGTAAAGAAAATAATAACCAGGAGTTTAAGGTATAATGAAAAAAAAAATAAAATCAGATGCTAAAATATAATTTTGGATTATTCCATTTATCCACAGGAGGAGAAAATGCAACCCGTGTTGAGGGAGAATAAGCGTAATTTTAATGGAGTAGTTCAACTTATTTTGATAAAAGAATGAATGGACAATCCATTACGCACTGTTGTCTTCTACAGCTGATGGGACGGACTTACGTGGAGGTGTAGAGAAGGTGGACGTCTGGAACCAAGTGCTCTGATCTTTGTCACAAAACTGCGCACAGTCCTCCCCGGAGCTCCTGGGAACTCCCTGCGAACTCTCTCCAGAGAGCCTTTTCTCTGCGTAAAAAGTCCTGGGAGAAAACTGCGCGCCCTGAGCGGACCCGGGGGTCTGCAGCACAGCAGAGTCAGAAGCGGGGTAAGAAGTCCGACAGGTGCTTTTCTTGGAAATCAGCGACTCGACGCTGAAGGGAAGGCTGCTCCGCGGCGGTTTGTATCCTTTCTCCGTGGTCATGTCTTTAGGCTGAAGCTCGTCACCCTCCGCGTTTTCCGCGTCCTCCTTTTGGTGGAGCTGCAGTTTGGCGTCTTGAGACGGTGACCCCTGCGCAGGATTCATCATGGTAAAAGAGGCTGGGGCCATGCACATCGGCGTGGCCCGTTTAGTTGTATGCTGCAACCCAAGCGTGAGGTCTCCACTGTGAGGCTTTCAGCCTGTCAACAGTGCCCAGTAGCGTTTTTTACGCACGGGACGGGGGTCTTCTATAAAAGGACCGGGGCTGTTCCCCTTTCTCCGCTCCCTCCAATGAGCTCCTCCTGCTGGCTCTGTGACGTCTCAGCCTGCGGGTTTGATTGGCCCACTGCCTTTTTTTTATTTGGATAGGACACCGAGAGGCCTGCGAGAAGGCAAGGGGACTTTAATCATACAGACCCCATGCAGAGCGGGGTTATTGATGGCGCTCACAAAATAGCTTTGACCAATTTTAGCGCAATTAAGCGGTGGGGAGGACTTCCCTGCGTATTTACATCCATTAACAGCAGTACAGCGAAATATTTTACTGTAAACACGCACAATGGCATTAATATCAGAGTAGATTAGAAACACATGAAACAAAAACTAATTTCAAAATATTAAAATCTGATTCCCAGATCAAAGCAATTGGAATGCTAACAGAATTATTTAAAAAAAAGTCCTTCCGCACCTAGAATAGAAATTGATTAGGTATGACTGTTGGTCACACAGCATTACAGCAATTTAAAGGCTGTCAGCAGCTCTTCTTCTTCACAATGGGCTCGGCTGAGAAGCAACAGGCGTTTTCTTTCTCCAGGTCATACTATTTAATAAGCCAGACAAAGTTGCGTTTTGCAAGGCGCCAGGCTCGGCAGGATCAAAAAGGGAAGATACCTCGGGGAGGGAGAGAGAAAAAAAGCAACTGGGTAACTCCACTTAACCAATTGTCCTCTGAATATTTCATAGTCCGCTGCGTGGAGCTGGGAGGAAGCAGGCAGAGGGCTGCAGCTCATGCTGGACTGCTCAACTAAAGGAGACTGAACAGCAGGAAGGTTTGCTGGGTCCAAGTGATTGGTTATTGGGATAAACAGTGAGCTCCTGTTTTAAAAATGTGAAATATATATATGTTCTTACATTTTCAGTGTTAAACCAGGTAATTTGGGCCTTAAAAAGTAAAAGCTTTCCTTTGTGTACATCTGCTCACAGTGGATCTTGTATGAGTGCTGCTCAGGCAGAGTTCATCTGGGCCCAAATCTCAAACAAACACACATTCTGGTGCCCATTCTGCAGTAACATCATCGTTTTATTTCTTAGTTTATCAAAAGCATTCAAACTAAAAAAACTTGCTATAAGATATGTAAAAAATAAAGTAATTTTTGTTCCCAAATAAAAAGATTAAATCAGTTGACGTTTGATCAGACCAGATAAATAAAGATACAAAAAATAAGATAAAATATTGTGTCCCAAATTATTTCCTAAACCTTTTTCCTACAAGTAAGAAAACATTATATTTCTATTGTTTATCTCCCAGAGCATCTTCCTTTATATGTATCAAAATGCACATATAAGGAGCTTTAAAGCATGCTGGACTAATTATTGTCCTGTCAACAACGTCTCATATAGGACTTACCAGCTGTTATTAGTGCTCCACCTATTCTGTCTGTAAGTTTGAGACAAAATATATATTTTTAAATATTACTCAGAACAAATCCGAATACAGAGATCATTTTTTACACCTCGACAGGTGCGACAGCAGGTTATGTTTGCTCAGTTCCTTCTTAATATATAGAAATTTTCTTGACGTGTCTTCACTAAATGGGAGGTTCTAAAGTTTCATCTGTTTACTAAGGGAGGGAGGAGAGATATCATTTTGTAAATATTGCCGATATTTTCAAAAGTAGAAACAACTAATAGTGAGATGTATAGAAGATGCATTGTTAAGTGTTTAAATTTTTGTCATGCAGGGTATTCAGAATGATTTCTCTTTAAGGGCGTCAGTAGGACCTTCTTGCCACCAAACTAAGTCAAGATTCAAAAGAGGATTTCAGCAGCCATGGACCCTGGGAAACACATTCAATGGGACCTGGTAAGAAGAAAAAATATCTCTCTCCACCATCTCCTATAAGTTTGATAGATTTATTTTTCTACTAATATGACTGTATTGACAAACTGCAGAATCAGTGACTTTTTTTGTGTTTTAAAATGTGTCAAAGAACAAACAATTCTTTGACTGACAGAGATGTGTTTAGAGGTCCCGCAATGAGATCTCTTGAAAGCCCTCAGGTAGAGAAAATAGTTTAGCGTTCGTCAGGTAAGAGGTGCAACTTCTGGGTCAATGATTCAGGTCTGAGTAAGACCTGATGTTGAGTCTGCTCCCTTCATTTCCTATCAGACTAAACCAGCCCTCTGTCTTCTCCCGTGCCCCGTAGCTTCTCGCCGCCCAGCTGGTTTGTGTTTAAATGCCAGCAAGTGTCGGCAAGTGTCTCACGTCGGCACTTGCATGTAAAGGGAATGGGATGAGAGTTCATGGAGATTCATTCGATACAGGTAAACCCAAAGATAGCATATTTAGCTTGGGCCTCCCATCCTCCTCCTCTAACCCTAAAGACATTTTTTGTAACAGCATGCAGGCAAGTGAGTCGTGTCAGAAGGTGTTAGTCAGTTTGAAAGCAGATCTGCTCTTCAAGGCCAATGCGAGCTCCATGGGAAGCACTTTCCCCTCAGCTGGCACCAGAAGTTTACGTTTCTTTTATTTTTTTTTTACATATGGGTGTGCAGGAGCCGCTCTCTGCACCAAGGAGCTCTGATCAAACCATTTATCTACTCCATAAAGTGCAAGGGCCAAGTGGTAGCATGGTGTGAGAAAACAGATTTAGGCTATACACTTTTCATGTGATTCATATGATTTTTTTTTTCTTGGAGGCCTCCCAACAAAAGCCAAAGCATCCACTTGATCAAAACCATCTGCAAATGGATGATGCATTTCTGTTCCTTTAGTTTGTACGATCAAACGTACGCCATTGTTTACTTACGGTGCATGGATTTTATTCTGCAGAGTTAAATAAACATCACTTAGCCAATAAAGCAAACCTAGCCCCTTTGAAACTCTTTACAGTGTCTTAAAAAAGTATTCTGAACCCTTAAACTTTTAACTTCACTCTTTGTCATGCTTAAACAGCAAACTGTTTTTAATTGTCCTTTTGTTTGATAATCTAATATGAAAGACTACATCCTTTAGAGGGGGAAAATGAAGACATGTGATATGTCTTAAATTTAAAAACTTTCAAAAGTTTCATATTTCCCTGCCCTAAGTCAAAACTCAACCTTTTGCTGCAGAACATTTAGGATATTTCATTAACCAACATTTTTTAAATGGTGTTTGTTAAGTAGTTCAACTCCAGTCAAAATGGAGAGAGAGCATTTTTAAATTTTTTTTTTTTTTTTTTTTATTAAAGTAAGCACAGATTCTCTGTGGAATTTTATTTTAGGCTTTGACTACTCCATCAACATGTTTAACATCACTTCACAGGTTAAGTGAGGGACTTTGTATAGGAGCTGACTAGAAATGCTCTCCTTATTTTTCTTGTTTCATATAAAAACATTCAACAGGGTATATCATTTTCTTTCCACTTTACAATTTTCCACCACTCTGAGTTGGTTTACTCAAATCCCTTTGGGACACATATAGCACACACATAGCTTGTGTGTTATCTTGCAAGATCCTGCAACATTGGAGTAGACAAAAGTAGTTTATATAACAGAGTTTAGAGACTATTTTGACATTTCCCCCCGAACTGTAGAAAATAAGTGATGCTTTGCTCAAAATGCAGAAAAGAAAACAACATCCTGTCATATTCAAATCTACTGGTCCTATTTTCTTTATCTCTGAATTCTTTCATTTTTTGCACCATTATCACATAAGGTGACCAGCTTGGAGATCCTGATTTTACCAGCAACTCAAATAACAGTTATTTGAGTTTTTCAGCAGTGTGGAAAATATCTGTGACCTTTCATTTGACTTTACTAGTTGATTCCATCCACATCAGACTGCCTTGGGTCCTGTGCTTAAACGCTGGTTTGACATTTTCTGCCAAAGCCACTTCCTCTTGTGGCATCTCAGTGCCCTGTGTTTGAGCGCCGGGTAATGAGGGAAATATTCGTGCCGTGCGAAAGCAGGGGAAGCAAATTGCATCCATCACAGCTTCTTTTTTGGACTGTAAAAAAGCAATCAGGGGATGGAGTGTCCTGCGGTTTTACAATTGCTGCTTTTTTTGAGTCGAACCAGCATACAGCGGGGTGGATTCCATTAGTTAGTGGTGTTAGGATCTAAATTTTAACCTTGAGCTAATGTTTGCTCCCATGCTGATGCTCAAAGATTTCACATTTTGTTTTTTTTTGCTACTTCTGATTGAGCTGTTTCACTCACGGCCTCCGCTGCCGGTGGAGGTCGTTAAGGAGAAAAACCACAAGAGGTGACAATGCAGTTGGCAATTTCATCTGGCCTGCCATCGGCCATAGAAATACACATTCTTGAGGAAAGCCTAGAGACAATACAAGTGGGCGAGCTAGGTTGAGCACTTTGGACGAGGAACTTTGTGTGGCTACTCTGTGGTTTCATTCCCAAACCAAAGAATGTCACCACAATCTCATACGCTCCTCGCAGCCAAAGACTGGATAGAATACATCTGAGAGGGAGCAACAATTTTCACTCTTTTCCTGCAGGATTAAATCCATAAAAAACAGTGACTATTGTGTATTTTTGTTTTTTTTAGTTCTTACTCCACCTTACCCTTAATAGAAAATATTAGCTCAGAAAGTCACTGAACAAGAACTCATAAAGTTGGACTCAATAGTTTGAGATGATCATTCAACTATTGAAGCGTAATACAGTTAACTTTAATATATCCATCCATCCATCCATCCATCCATCCATCCATCCATCCATCCATCCATCCATCCATCCATCCATCCATCCATCCATCCATCCATCCATCCATCCATCCATCCATCCATCCATCCATCCATTTTCCATCACGCTTTACACCCTTTACAATATAATAATTAGAAATTCATTTTTTCACTGGATAATAATCTGAAACTTGGCTATTTAAGTTTGAAAAGAATAACACACAGTAGCATTTGCTTTAATAACAGAATGAGGCATTTAATGTTTAAAATACAACTTTTTCCACTATAATGTATTATGAGACTTAATTCAAAATAACTGTATTACTTTTCCTGTGAT